ATGAATATTAATAAATATAAATATTAGTATATGTTACTACAATAATAAATAATAGATCTATTGACTCCAAATTACTCCATTTTTCTAATAAATAAATATATAGTTTGACAAATTTATGAAAGTGCTGCTTAATAAATTAATATTAAAAGTATAAAAATACAGAGCAAAATCCTTGTCAAAAATATTTTTTAACAAGTTAAATAGGGGCTTAACATGGTGTATTATTTAACAAATATTACACACAGAGATATAGCGATTATAATATAAAAAAGGCCCACTAATGATCTACAATAATGCAATTCGGTATTTTTTCTTACACTTTAAGATAAAATGAAAAACTAATGTTTGTTATATAATGAGCAACTAGTTTTATAGCTGCTCAATAACATAAAAATTAATTTTTCTCCTACTACTAAAAAAAGTAGTAATATCTATTATATCATATTGAAAATAAAAGTTTCTTGAAATAAAATCCTTTTTTGATTCTTGTTTTACTAAAAACGTATTTATTTATTTTTTTTTTTTTATAATAACACATATAATTTGATATTTTGTTGTCACACGTTTATTTTTCATTCCACTTTTTGTGTCTTTTATGTTGAGCTATTTTTTTTTATATTTAACGGTTAAGAATCATGTTCATATTAAGCAAAACAAATTGAGCTGAATTACAATATGATACCATATGACAGTCTGAGTTCATCTATATAACTGATCATTATAAGTTCATATTTATTTTATATCAAGTATCAGAAGGAGCTTTTGGTATTCAGAAACATATTCATCTCTATTGAATTACATCATAGAACATTAAAATTCAATAATAAATTTTACATTTATTCGCCCAACACTGAATGCTCATGGTACTTGATATAAAATAATTAATTTGAACTGAGATTGTGTTGTGGTATTCAAACTGAACAATAAGTAGTATTAAATATTATCTGAAAATTGCAAAATAATATATTTTGACAGTAATTTTAAATATTAAGAAATGGAGAGAATCCCATTCCAGAGGGAATACCTTTCATTCTTTAAAAAGGTTTTCTCTGAATTGCCATTGCTTTGTGAAACATGTTTTTTTTTCCCTTCTTTAATTATTACCCATTCTTATGAATATAAACTTTTTATAACATTATATTTTACACTCTTTTAAATGTGATTTTATGTTTTTAATATAAAAATTGATATGTAGCACATTTTTTAAAAATGAAAATTTGAGGTTCCTAAAAAATGATTTGATATATGGAGATTTTTGATCATCAAAGTTTGATATATATGGTGTGACTTTCTATATAGGAGTAAAATAGGCTGATATGAACAGCACTGTCTCTGTTTTTAATCAAAACAGGTTCAAATTTCTGGCTTAACTCAAAAGTGAGACTAAATCAGTTGGCTTTTTAAAAGCTGAGAACTGTAGTTTCATAGACAAGTGCAGGATTGACCCAAACCTAAATTTGGAACCTAAATTGGGAAATTAATTCCCAGGCAAGGAGTAATTCAGAAAGTTGGAACACAGTCCAGATCAAATCTTCACGTCTCTAAGGTCGAGTGGTTTCTTCACCAGTCTCAGCCTTCTAACCATTCTCAGGTTTTGGCAGGTCTAATTTATTTATTTTAATTTACTTGTTATAAGTGTTTATAAGCATAAAAACATTTGCAATATTTTTTTCCTTCAAGACTGATAAATATTTCTAAACTTAATATTAATAATAATATTGAACTTAATCTTTGTTCTAGGAAAGGATCTTGAAAAATAATTTAATTAAGTAAAATTAAATTTTTTAAATAGAAATAATTTAAACCGAGTCATTGTTTATTCAAAATAAATATATGAGACTATATTACTTATTATGCACTTTCATAAGCATCAATGGATAAAATTTCAAGTTTTCAAATGAAAATAAAAACATAAAAAAATTAGAATGAAGGAGTAATCATGGCAATCAATAAGTTTACCTTTAAGACATCCGTATTTATGGTCAGCAGTATATCCTTGGGGACAAAACTTGCAGACAGCTTTGTGATCTTCAACAAAGCAAGGGGCGTCTTGCGGGCAGGTCGCATTTAAACATGGGTCAATACATTGATAGCTACGACAAGCAAGATTAGGAGGGCAACCTGCGTCTTTTAAACATATTGAAATTTCGGCATTGCAATTTTTCATGCATACACAAATTGGATGATGATTGGAAACTAAACAAGCTCTATTATCAGAGCAATGGCTCGGAGTACATGGACTCTGGCAATGGGAATGTATACAAGCTTCATTGGAAGGACACTCACTATCTTCTTTACATTGTGCTTGCTGGGGAGCACAACTAAGTTCACCTGATGCACTCAGTGAGAAACCATATTTACACACACATTCAGCCCTATGATTCCTCACTTGACATTTTTTGATTGGTGGACAAGTTGGTCCGGACATGAGACAGGGATCATGGCACTCCCCCCTATAGCAAGACAGGCTGCTGGGGCATTGACTATTTGTTTTACATTTCAATTCGAGAGGAACAGGGGTTGTGGCTTGGCATTTAGGGTCTGGGGTACATGCTACTTGTGGGTCTCCAGAATGGCATTGAGGGCATGAGCAGCGGGCATGATGAAGTACAGGCTGGCAAAGTGCGTTCAACCCGCAAGACTCCCTCAGGCTGCAAACTTCTATACACTCTTGATTGATGCAAGCCTTCTCAGCAGGGCAGTCCTCGTGACTCTCGCACTCTACCGAGCCACAGTCAGCTCCAATCAGTACCACAAATCCAGTAATAATATGAGAGAAAGCAGATTAATGAATGAAGCAGCAGTTTCTGTAGTTTTGCTTATTTCCTTTATACAGGAGCCATAGACATCCTTACATATCTTTCTATACATGATCTTAGTGGAATTTGATAAATCCTTCTATTGTGTTTATTGAATGAAATATATCTTAAAAAATAATGTAGTATTTTGTAATCAACATAACTAAAATTATAGAATGGGATGATGTCAAAGTTTTGTGTGTGATTAAGCCAGATCCCTTTATCAGCATTATCAAATCCATCAAGGATTTCAAGATAAAGTTTTCTACTAAAATATTTAACATAAATTGAAATTTATTTTTTTAACTGAACAGCAAAGTTAACTGTTATATTAGATAACAATGAACATGACACTAGATAAAACATGACACACCTTGCAACTAACTCCACCAAGTTACTTATAGAAATGACATTAAGGTGAAATAAATCAATATTATAAATTTTCTAAGAAGCCATTGTTATGATTAATAAAATAAAAGTATTACTTTGAGTATGAACAACTTAGCAAGCGTGAGGACGTTTAAACTGTTATATACAAATACATATTTTTTAAACATATTCATAAAAGGAACAACTACATATAAATAATAAAACAAAACATTTAGAAAGTACTGCTTAAGAGAGGAACTGTGAAAGGATTTCAATCATGCTCTAATTGAAACATAAATCAATCAATGATCCAAATGTAATCATTAAAAGAAGAGAAGATTGAAAAAAATAATAACTAAAAAAAAATAGTGAGACTAACAACCACAGACATTAAATTATCATCTAAAACATAGAGAAGCTAATCCCATTGCCAAAATCAAGAAAATTTATTAACTACATTGTGAGACTGATCACTTTCACAGTTCCCAATCTGCCTTCTCGTTAACTAAACCTAAACATATAAATAATGAAAAATATATAAATAATTTTATTTAACAAAATTGTAATAATTTCATATTCTGTAGGTAATCTTAATAATAATAAATAGGACTCTAATATTTATCTCTTGGATAATAAAAATTCTACTGAACAAAAACGTTATTGGTGTCATTAGTATTAATACTGTATAAATTGCTAACCACAGTCAGCAAAAAGTCAGATTGGAATACTGTTTTTGAACATCTCACAAAAAAAATAAATAAATAAAGAAACCCAAAATAATTTAAATTTACACTATGTACAGTTCCAATCATACGGACATTTCCCCAACCAAATATAATAATTACACTGTACATTAAAGATACAAGCATGCTTTAACATTATCCCCTTTAATTACATGCACTATTCACATTGAGAATAAAATCATTTGGTGTGGAGTTGAGAGGCATTTGTGGTTCAGTCTTGTAATGTAGAATTACTGTATTTTTAAACACAAATATTTAATTTTCATCATAAGACAATAAAAGATGACATTTTGTGTCTGAAAAATCAAATACAACTTTTGACTTACCTGGTTTGCAGTGAACATTTGGTTTTCCTTTTGTACCCGGTGGGCACTTACACTCAAATTCATCTAATTTAATTTCAGTACATACAGCATTAACACCACAGCCTTGTGTTCTACAATCACCTTGCTTAATACCTACAAGAATTCATTGCTCAATTTTTAATTTGAATTGATTTTTTTTCATACCAGTCATTTATGATTCTTACTATTATCAAGTATTCAACTATCATTGCCATTTATTTTTTTCAGTTGGATTGCTGGTTTGATTATGAATAAAGAGTCTCACAAATTGACAATCAAGTTAATCAAATAAACTTAGACAGTGCAATCATTCTTTGTACATGAATATTAAAATTAGCAAAACAATAAATATACATTTTGGTAACTTTATGACATTCAAACTAATAAGATATTTATGGTCTATTAAAAGAATTACATTTCTTTATTTATAACTTATTTTTAACTATCCATAGTATTCATAACGGTTAAACTCAGACATATAATATAAATTATGATTAAAGAATGTTTTCACATGAACAATAATAATAATAGTGCAGAAATCCATCAAACTCAAATAGACCTACATGATATTGTAGTTTGTAACACATATATAAAAAACACACTGTAAAGAAGGCATCTGAAAAAGACTTATTATTTTTAAAAAGCACACTAAAATTATATTAATTAATTTATTGTTCTTTAAACTTTATTGTTTGCAACGACAACTTAAAAAAATATTTAGAAATGAAGGAATATACTATCAGATACTAACATCTATTCTTTGGGTCTCCAAGTGGATATTCAGGTGGACATAGGCATTGGTAAGAGTTTCCAGATGGCTTACAAATGGCATTCAAGCCACATTTTACATTTAAGCAACGATCATCAACTCTCCTATCTTGACAAACACAACCTCTGTAAGGGTCTCCAGAGCAGCCAGGTGCACAACTGCATTCATATCCACCTGGTACATCTTTGCAACGAGTATTTTGACCACATGGATTACGATTGCATGTGTCACCTGTACCTAAAAATGTATTTCATCACTAAAAATTAGCTATAGCTAAGTTTTGAAATAAGAAACAATATTGTTCATAAATCTGAGTATATAAATTATTATTGCATACTAGCAACTCACCAGGTTTGCAAACTACAAGAGGATTACCATGGAAACCTGGAGGACAAGAGCAAAGTGCTCTACGGTTTTCTGCTTTGCATTGGGCATTGAGCCCACATGGTCTTCCTTGTAAGCAAGGGTTTCTGCAAATATTGTCGCTACCACATGATTTACCTGCCAAAATAAAAATAAAAAATATGTTAAGCTAACAATCATTTTTAATTAATTTTTAAATATTATCTTTAATTATTACATATAAAATTAAAAAATATATATTTATCAATGGTCTGATACCTCCTTCACAGTCTTCATCCTTTAAGCAAGAGAATGGCTTGCAAGATCGTGTTGGATCACCCCTTGTTCCAGCAGGGCAAAGGCATATAGCTCTATGATCTGAAACTCTGCACTCTGCATTGATACCACAGGGGCTATGTCCTATACCACAAGGATTGTGACACACATTTTCTGAACAGGACTGATCATTGGGACAATCACTATCCTTGAAGCATCCACTTGTACAAACGCCATCCAAGCAAATCTGACCCTATTGAATATAAATTTAAAAAAATTTAATAAAAACTGATTTTGTAAAATTAAAAAGATAGATTTTTATTAAAATCTAAGTCAATACAAAGTATTAAATTATAAAAGCTTACGGTTTGACAGGGATTAGTTGCTGAGCAGGTGTTAGAACAAAAACCCTTCAAACAGACTTGGCCACAAGGACACTCCTTATTTACAGAGCAGCTGATAAGGCAATAGCCAGCTGATTTATCACATGTACAGGAGTCATTACATCTAGTTGGGGGCTTGGTACATGCTACCAGTGGATTGCCTATGTAACTCTGCGGACAGCTGCACTGCACACCATGATTTACTACAAGGCACTCAGCACATGAACCACAAGTTGTTGCAGCCTCACATGGGTCTAAATAACAACACATAAAATAAATAAGTAAAATAAAACTATACCATATTTAATATGAAAACATATTCTTAATTAAATATATTGTTCTTATTTATTTAAAACATGAATTTATTGACACTGTGAGTAGAGCACGGATCATGTAACTATACATTTTTTTTAATATTTTGATGCATAGTATTATGAAATACATAAATAAACAACAGATTAGATATATTGTTGGTAAGATTAAAATAAGAATAATAAATTGTATTAAATCCCACTCCAGCCATATTGCCTTTGCACGAAATACCTTACCACAATCAGATATAAGAACTATCAATATCATATCTGTCATTATACTGTATTCCTAAGAACTACTTGTCTCTTTAGCATAATAAATAGTAATGATGAAAAGAAAGGGATAAAAAGAGGTAAATTTGGAGAATGTAAAACTAATTTTAATAGAAAATCAAGGAAGGAGTTATACCAATAACTTGATTAAATATACACCAATTTTTGTATTTTTTGTTGTTGCTAGGTAAAAAGTGTCTGTTGAGAAGCGTCAATAAAGCTTTCTTAACATTTTCATGTTGTCCCCCTTATTTCAATTTCAGTGATTTGTTGAAATTTAATAAATTAATAACACCTTTTCAAACTAAAGCCTAAGGAACAACTCTTTTTTGAAACATAAGCTTGTGAAGGCGATGGAATTTGATAACATCAGAGCCCAACATAGAAGAAAATCGGACGAGCAGTTTTTATATTATGTGCATGTCAAAAAGAATATGTTTGTGTACGTGTAAAAGAAAGTAGTGGATGGAATTTAATAAAATACACAATAGGTCATTTGTTCAATATCCCCCGACTTTGAACCAAAAATATTTAAATTATTTTACCTTGTTCGAGCACTGAAGATATTCAAGTGACTTGAATATCTTCAGTGCTCAAACCACACCCTGATGATGACCCACATGTTTTGGCTTGAAACGTCGGCTCTAATAAAAACCTTATAATGACTTAGTCCTGAATATTTATCACCCATGATATGTAGAACAGTCGATTAATTTCCTTCAATTCTTATTTTACCTATTTATTATTATATATTGGTAATAATTATATATATTTACTCTGGTACTAGTACATTGACCTTACCTCTACATTGTTTATTGATGCAAGCTTGATTTTTTGGACAAACACTATCACTCCTACACCCTAACTCACAAACTCTATTTTCACAAATTTCACCTCTTCTACACTTTGTATCACTATTGCAGACTGTTTTACAAGTACCATCTAAGCACCTCTCATCTGATAAGCAATGGCTATCACTGTAATCATAACCATAAAACATAATGTGATGCCCAATGGCTCAATCAACACAAACAATTTCTAGGATATAACTTACATGCTGCACTTGTTAGTGCATTTATCTCCATAGCAAATATTATTTTGAGGACAGTCTTTGTTTGATACACATAATAGAGAAGGATGTTTGCAACTAATCTCAGGGTCACCAATCAGATTTGAAGCGCATTTGCATACCTTTTGGTGGTTTTTAATGGAACAGTCGGCATTGGTTCCACAAGCAGTTGGTGAATCACATAAATCTGTCAAAATTTGTTTTTATTTAATTACAGTATTTGGAGGAACAAGAAAGCAGTTTTTAAAACAAGTAAGTACCTATGCATTTAGAATTTACACAAGCTTTGTCTTCAGAACAGTCAAAATCACTGCGACATCCAACTGTACAAATAAAGTCTTGGCAAAGCTCTCCAGATCGACAGTCGTCATCTTTTCGACAAATAGCTTTGCATATTCTTGTTTTAAGATCACACTTTTCATTGGCGAGACAACCAGAATCTGATGCACAGACTGGGTGACATATTCCTGAAATAAATTTATTTTTTTAAATGGTGTTTTTAATATGACTTATTGAACAAAATAATGGTTCAGAATAGTTTACCTGACATGCAAATAGTTCCAGAAGAACAATCTCTATTTTCTTTACAAGGAGGGGCTGGTGCACGTACACATGCTATATTTGCTGATGGGTTCGGGACAAAACCAGCACGGCATGAGCAAACAGCTCTCTGGTTGGCTACAGAACAGGCTGCATTAGGGCCACATGATGTTTCAAGACAAGGGTTCAAGCACTTATTCTCCCTACAAGACTCAGAGGCACTACAATCGTCATCTGAGTGGCAGCCAAACATGCACATGTTATGTAGGCATATGTGACCCAGAAAACAGTCATTGTCCACCCGGCATGTTACTAAAATAGAATATCGAATACGTTTGTAGACATTGTTCTTATAAATAAGTCTTATAATTAACAATAAGCTACTTTAACTTACAAATGCAATTCCCTTTCAAGCATTTTTCATTTAGAGCACAGTCATTGTCAGCTGCACAGTTTTGTCTGCAAACATTATTTACACAAGAGTTGTCTTCTATGCAGTCTTCTTTTACGTGACATGAAACAGGAACTAAAGAAAAAATAAATATAGACTATTTTTTTAGCTCTAAAGATAAAATTTTGAAACATTTGAAGCAAATAGTAAATTACCTCTAACACATTCGATGAGTTCATTTCCAGTAAAGCCAGCTGGACAAGAACAGTGCTTTTGATGATCTATAATGCCACATTGTGCGTTTAGTCCACATGCACTGTTATCTAAACAAGGGTTGGTACAATGACCAAGCAAGCATTGTTCCTCAAGATTACATTCAGAATGTGATCGACAAGAACCTGAAAACCAATTCCTTATTATTCCCACTATTCAGTATATTCAGTACTTGTGTATATTACATATATATAAATATTTCCACAGATACAAGCAATTTTACAGGATAAAATATGGCCACTTTTATTTTATTATTATTATCTCGACACAACAACAAAAATAGATTCTGTTCATTATGTTTGGTCATAGTTCAAGTTTTTGAGCCATACAATGGGTGAATTATGGTTTTGTATAGATGTACTTTAGTTTTGCGGGAAAGAATGTGGCCATCAAGCTGTTTTCTGAGGCTGCAGTAGCATTGATTAGTGGAGATTATCTTTCTTCTAATTTCTGTTTCTGCGCTGTTGTCCTGTGTTATCATAGAGCCTAGATAAATAAAATCGGGGACTTTCTCAAATTGGTAGTCATCGAATGTTCCCATCTCATTGCATTCAGAAGTCACTTCTGTCACCATGTATTTGGTTTTCTCTTTATTAACCTCGAGCCCAAGTTTCCTTGCAGGACCTACCAGTGCTAGAAAAGCTTCCCTGACAGCCTGTTGAGAGCACCCAATGATGTCGACATCATCCGCATAAACCAGTATGCATACTCCGATTGAATATTGTCTGCCAAACCTGTATGCCCGAATCTCTCACAGCCGTCTCTAGGGCAATGTTGAATGAGAAGTATGTGAGGGCATCACCGTGCTATAGGCTCTTTGTCGCTTGAAATTCCTCTAATAGATCTCCATTAAGGCGCATACCATAACACCTCATTTATGGTCAGCCTCACCATACATATGAGCTGAGGGATTTGAAATTCTTCCATGGCTAGGTAAAGCTCATCACGATTAATATTATAGTATGTGGCCTTAAAATCGATGAAGAGTCTTTTCCTTAAATATTTGTCCTCTCTCCAATATGGTTTTCAGACTAAATATTTGGTTGAGAGTCAATTTTCCACATTGAAATCTACATTGGTAGGCATCTATTGATCTATCAGCATAGGGAAGTAGACGTGTGAATAGGATATTTGAGAGGACTTTGTATCCGGAAGTCAGTAAGAATATGCCTCAGTCATTAGTACATGGTAGTCATTACATTGCTTGTGAATCAGACAGATCATCGATTTTCTCCATTCTGAAGGTGTTACTTCATCCTCCCACATTCACATAAAAAGGTTTTGAAATGCTTTGACCAGTTGGTTGCCTCCTATTGTAAGAGTTCGTCAGGGAGTCCATTATACCCTAGAGCCCTGTGGTTCTTCAGTCTATCCACAGTTTCCTCAATCTCCTTCTCGTTGGGTGGTTCTAATTTGAATTCCATATCTCCTTCACTAAGTAGGGTTCTGTTAACGACTTAAGGGTTGGCATTTGTGCCAGTCAGGAGGTCTACAAAATGTAAATCTCCATTCTGCTAGATTGTTTTCTTTATCCAAGCAAGAGGAATGGGTTCCAGTTAAAGGCTTTATAAGCTTCTTTATCCTGCGGAAGAACTCTTTTAATTCTTTACTTCCATACAAAACTTCTATTTCCTACAACTCTTCACGCTATTTCTGCCTCTTCTCTCGACGAAGCCTCTTGTTCAGAGTCGACATTTGCTCCTCGGAATGTCTTTATAACAAATAGATTTGATTTATGTCGTCTCTCTATCAATATTTGATCGATTTGATTAATAATTGATCTATTAGGCATGATCCATGTATCTTTATGAAAATAAATGTGTAGGAATAGAATGATACCCACAAGATTCGTTGATACTGCAAAATTCACAAGCTCAGCTCCATTATCATTGCTAGCTTCATGAAGGCTATGCTTTCTAACAGTTGAGGTGTATATAAGTTCTTGTCCGACCTTCATGTTGAAATTTCCTCCAATTATTTTCATGTTATATCCAGGGCGCACATCAAAGGTCCTTTGAAGGAGATCATAAAACAGGTCCTTCTCTTCGCTAGCTACTTCCGTGAGGGCATGGACACTAATAATACTATAGTTATAGAATTTCCCACAGATACGGATCAGACCATTCACGGACTAATGGCCTTAAATCCAATTACAAGTTGCTTATAGGTGTCTCTAACCACAAATCCAGTACCAAACTCATGAAGTCTGTCATTGCAGCTATATGGATTGGTTTTTCTTACCTAAGATTTCACTTCCTGTCCAGTGTACTTCCTGGATGGCAACAAGGTCAAGTTTGATCTAGAAGCAGTTTAAATGCTCCAGGTCTGTATAATGAACCGTTCCACTATTCAGAATTGAAAATCTTTTCAGAAATGGCGGGTCTATTACCTTTTAATCTGTTTATATCCGAGTCTTTTTTTTGTGTGGCATTTTGAGATAATTTAGTTTCGGAAAGTGGGGCTATTGACCCTCACTGTGTATTGGAGCTAGTCTGCTAGTGGAGCTGCCACCTTTGTACCTGCAGACCTAAAGCTCCATCCGGGGCTGCTTCCTAGGGAAGGTGACCCTAGTGTGTGTACTGTTGTATGACCTTTGTCTGAAGAGTATAGGGATGAGTGTAGTGTG